GTGATGTCTGAGATTTTGTTGCCTATGTTTTCTTCTAGGGATTTTTATGGTTTCATGACTTACATTTAAGTCTTTTACCCATTTTGAATTTATTCTGTGTATGGTGTAATTTGGTCTAGTTTCATTTTTTTGCATGTACCAGTCTAATTTTCCCAGCACTATTTATTGAAGAGACTGTCTTTACTCTATTTGCAGATGACATGATATTGTACATAGAAAACCCTAAAGACGCCATCAAAAAACTACTAGATTTAATAAATGAATTTGGCAATGTAGTAGGATATAAAATTAACATCCAGGAATCAATGGCATTTTTATACACCAATAAAGAACTCTCAGAAAGGGAAACTTAAAAAAAAAAGTATCCCATTTACCATTGCAACAAAAAAAATTAAGATACTTAGACATAAATGTAACCAAGGAGGTAAAAGGCCTGTACTCAGAAAACTACAAGACATTGAAAAAAGAGAGAGAGAGGAAGATACAAACAAGTGGAAGAATATACCATGTTCGCGGATGGGTAGAATTAACATCATTAAAATGTCCATATTTCCCAAAGCAATCTATAAATTCAATGCAATTCCTATTAAAATACCAATGGCATATTTCACAGATCTAGAACAAATACTCCAAAAATTTATATGGAACAAAAAAAAAGCCCTGAATAGCCACAGAAATCTTGAGAAAGAAAAATAAAGTAGGAGGGATCACAATAGTGGATATCAAGTTATACTACAAAGCCATTGTAATCAATACAGCCTGATACTGCCACAAGAACAGGCCTATAGATCAATGTAATGTTGAATTATTAAAATAGGTTTAGACCCCACAGACAGCTCTCAATTGACAAACAGGTTAAGATCAAACAAGTGACTTCATACACTGGGCTGAGTTTCCCCACAAAAGCATTCTTCTGAGGTGTTTATCAGGGTGAAGTTAAACGGATTCTGAGAGGGGAAAGGGGCAGGAGATGACAAGATTGGGCCGTGGTTCTCCTGGAAGGGAGTAACAAGGTGCAGAGAAACAGTGCTTCGTTTGAGTTCTAGCTGTCACGTGTGTGACTGGTGTGATGCGCCGTGGAGTTCACAGAGCCAAGGGGCATGAAAATGGAATGACCTTTACTTTTCTACGATGGAAGCTATATCATGCGGACTCATGTTGACTAATGGCACATAAACTTTTTCCAGATGTTTCCAAATGTTCTCTGCCCAATCCAGTGATATTTTTTTTCTAATCAAACTGGAGTATTAATATCTCTGTCTCAGTTTGTTTTACAAATACCATGTAGGCATTCTCTTTCCGGTATTTCACCTACCTCTCTGTGCCCTGCACCAGGCCCTGATAGAAGGGATTTTGTTTTCATGATGGACCTTAACTATGAGAGAGATTGGGTCTGGGATTGTATGTAAGGTGTTGGGTCCACTTGTGGAGTGGCCTGAGGGAATATTGCCTTCTATTTTTTTAAAAAAAAATGTTTTATTGAATTTATTGGGGTAACATTGGTTGATAAAAAAATATAGGTTGCAGGTGTACAATTCTATAATACTTCATCTATATATTGTGTGTTCACCACTCCAAGTTAAGTTTCCCTCCATCACCATTTATCACCCATTTACCCTCTTCTACCTCCCCTTCCCCCCCTTCCCTCTGATAATCACCGTACTGTGGTCTACGTTTATGAGTTTATTTTTTTTCTTTGCTTAATTCCTTCACCTTTTTCACCCAGCCCCTCAAACCCTCTTCCCTCTGATAGTTGTCAGTCTATTTTCTATCCATGAATCTGTTTCTATTTTGTTTGTTAGTTTATTTTGTTCATTTAGATTCTACATATAAGTGAAATCATATGGTATTTATCTTTCTTTGAGTGGCTTATTTCACTTAGCATAATGCTCACCAGGTCCATCTATGGTGTTGCAAAAGGTAAGATTTCCGTTTTGTTTTTGTTTTTTTACAACTGAGTAATATTTCATTGTGTAAATGTACCAGAGCATTTTTATTGACTCATCAACTGATGAGCCCTTGAGCAGCTTCCAAATCTTGGCTATTGTAAATAACGCTGCAGTGAACATAGGGGTGCATATATTCTTCCAAATTAGTGTTTCAGGTTTCTTCAGATGTATTCCCAGAAGTGGCACTGCTGGGTCAAAAGGCAGTTCCATTTTAAATTGTTTCTGAGGAAACTTCATACTGTTTTTCATAGTGGTTACACCAATCTACATTCCCACCAACAGAACCAAAAGTTCCCTTTTCTCCACATCCTCTCCAATGCTAGATGTTGATTTATTGATGATAGCCATTTGGACAAGTCCATTTGGACAGGCGTGAGGTGATATCTCATTGTGGTTTTAATTTGTGTCTCTCTGATGATTAATGACGTTGAGCATATTTTCATGTCTATTGGCCATGTTTGTCTTCTTTGAAGAAGTGTCTATTCAGGTCCTTTGCCTGATTTTTTTTTTTTGTGTGTGTTGACTTTTAGAAGTCCTGTATAAATTTTGGATATTAACTTTTTATCAGATGTATCATTGGCGAATATGTTCTCTCATTCAGTGGGTAGTCTTTTCATTTTGTTGATGGTTTCTTTGCTGTGCAAGAGCTTTTTAGTTTGATATAGACTTGTTTGTTAATTTTTTCTTTTGTTTCCCCTGCCTGAGGTGATTTATCAGAAGAAGTATTGTTACAAGAAATGTTGAAGATTTTACTGCCTATCTCTTCTTCTAGGATTTTTATGGTTTCAAGTCTAATATTTAAGTCTTTAATCCATTTTGAATTTATTCTTGTGCATGGTATAAGAGAGTGGTCTAGTTTTTTATTTATTATTATTTTTTTAATCCTCACCTGAGGATATTTTTCCATTTTTGTTCAGATAGAGAGGGAGGGGAAAAGAGGAGAAAGACAGAGAGAAACATTAATGTGAGAGAGACACATCGATTGGTTGCCACTGCACAACCAGGGCTGGAGATGAACTGCAATGGAGGTACATGCCCTTGGCTGGAATCAAACCTGGGACTCTTTGGTCCATGGGCTGACGCTCTAACCACCGAGCCAAACTGGCCATGGCTGATTTCAATATTCTTAAATTTATTGAGATTTGTTTTGTGGCCTAATATGTGGTCTATTCTAGGAAATGTTACATGTGCACTTGAAAAGAATGTATAATCTGCTGCTTTGGCTTGAAATGCTCTGAAGATGTCAATTAAATCCAACTGATCTAGTGTCATTTAAGGTTGCTGTTTCCTTGTTTATTTTCTGTCTGGAAGCTCTATCTATTGACGTAAATGAGGTGTTAAAATCTTCTACTATGACTGTATTACTGTTGATCTCTCCCTTTATGTTCAAGATTTGCTTTATATATTTAGGCGCTCCTATCTTAGGTACATAACTATTTATAAGATTTATATCTTCTTGTTGGATTGCTTTTTTTTTTTTTAAATCATTATGTAGTGCCCTTCCTTGTCTCTAGCTATAGCCTTTGTTTTTAAGTCTATTTAGTCAGGTATAAGTATTGCTACCCCAGCTTTTTTTTTTCTATTTGCATAAAATTTCTTTTTTCATCCCTTTACTTTTAGTCTGTGTGTATGTTTTGTTCTGAGGTGGGTCTCTTGTAGACAGCATATATATGGGTCTTGTTTTTTTTTTTTTTTATCCATTCAGCTATCCTATGTTTTTTAAATGAAGCATTTAAGCCATTTACACTTAAGGTGATTATTGATAAGTGCATATTTATTGCCATTTTATTCTTTTAACTATGTTCCTTGATTGTCTTCTTTATATTCTTTTTCTCCTTCAACTCCCCCCCCACCCCCTTCTCCTCCTTCTCCTTCTAAAAGAGCCTTTAACATTTTTTGTAATACTGGTTTGGTGGTAGCAAACTCTTTTAGCTTTTTCTTGTTTGGGAAGCTCTTTATCTCTATTTTAAATTTAAATGATAGCCTTGCTGGGTAAAGTCATCTTGGCTGTAGGTCCTTGCTTTTTATCACATTGAATATTTTATGCCTATCCCTCCTGGCCTGAAATGTTTCTGTTGAGAAATCAGCTGACAGTCTTATGGGAGCTCCCTTGTAGGTAATTAACTGTTTTTCTCTTGATGCTTTTAAGATTCTCTCTTTGTCTTTAACTTTTGCTATTTAAATTATGATGTGTCTTGGTGTGGGCCTCTTTGTACTCTTCCTGTTTGAGACTCTCTGCCCTTCTGTGGGCCTCTTTGTACTCTTCCTGTTTGAGACTCTCTGCCCTTCCTGAACTTGTGTGTCTTTTTCCTTTGCCAGGTTAGGAAAGTTTTGTCATTATTTCTCTAAGTAGGTTCTTGATCTCTTGCTCTCTCACATCTCCTTTTGGTACCCCTACGATATAGATTTTGTTATCCCAAAGATCCCTTAAACTGTCCTCATTTTAAAAAATTCTTTGTTTTTCTTTTTGCTACTCTGAGTGTTTTCTGCTACCCTATCTTCCAAATCACTGATTCAATTCTCTGCTTCATCCAACCTACTATTTATTCCTATAGTGTATTCTTTATTTCAGATATTGTATCTTCATTTCTGTCTCGTTCTTTTTTTATGGTTTCTATGTCCTTTTTATGCTTCCAGTCTTTTGTTGAAGTTCTCACTAAGTTCCTTGAGTATCTTTATAACCATTATTTTGAACTCTATATCTGGTAAGTTGCCTGTCTTTATTTCATTTAGCTCTTTTCCTGGAGATTTATCCTGTTCTTTAATTGGGGCATGTTTCTTTGTCTCCACATTTTGGCTGCCTCTTTGTGTTTGTTTCTGTGTATTAGGTGGTAGCTCTGCTATGACTTCCAGTCTTGGTAGGGTTGGCCTTATATAGTAGGTATCCAGTGGGACCCAGTGGTGCAGTCTCCTTGATTACCTGAGCTGGGTGCTCCAGGAATGTCCCTCTGTCAGTTATGTGGGCTCTCCTGTTGTAATTGAATCTTTTTGCCCCCTTCAATCTTTATTAATTTATTTTTGTTACAGATGTTTTTCCTTTTCCTCTCCTAGATACCCTCCTGTAATTGAGTCTTGATTTCTATTGACGTGTTCATGCATGGAGTTGACTCTCAAGCTGACTGACTATGAGGATCAACCCACACTTCACTGAGCTGCTATGCAGGTACTGACCACATGCAGAGGAATTCTCCTCAGCAGGGCCTGGTCCCTACAGAGATCTCCCTTTGGATATGCTGCATGCTAGAGCTAATTAGATCCTACTCTGATGTTGTCTTAAGCTGGCCACTGGGTGTGTTGGTTCTGGGGCCTCTTGGGAGGGACTCTGGTGCAGGCCAATGTCAGAAACTGTTGTGATCGGCCCTGGGTAACCTATTTGCAGCTACAAAGAGATCTACAGTTTCTGGCTGCCTCTGCTGAGCCTGAATGTGCATGGGAAGGGCCAAAATGTGCATCAGAGTCAGCTTTGACCAGTACCAGGCCAGAGGCAGTTCAGCAAAATTCCTGAGATCTGCCTCTGCCTCCTCCACATGTCCGCTGCCTATTAGGCTCAGTCACTGAAAGAGCCTCTGGTGGTATGCAAGTTGCATGAGGTAGGTTCTCAGTAAGTCACCAGGTAGGGGTGAGTGGTGTTCACCAGACTGATACAATTTAAACTCTAAGCCAATACTTGGTCTGAGGCCACTCAGCAAATGTCCCAGAGGACACCAAGCCTAGCTGCCACCCACTGGGTGCTCATACACTTTTGTTGTGGGGTAGGGGTCTCAGGGAGTCACCAGAGTGAGGCCAGCAGAGTTTATCAGGCCCAAACAGACCAGGATTTGGCCATGTGAAGAGAGGGCTCTACACCAAACCAGATCTCTTTGTAGCTCCAAATAGGACATGCGAAGGAAAAAATTCCCTTGTGCTAGAGCCACACAACTCAGACTGCCCCCGATTCTGCGAACAGCCCGATCTTAGCAGGGCAGGGCTGCTGGGGGGTGGGAGAGGGAGAGGTGTCAATCTGGCTTGGGGGAAGGTGGGGATCATGGCCCCTACTCTAGAACTATACAACTCAGCCCATCCTGGATTCTACCAGACCTCAGCAGGGTGAAGCCCATAGGAGTTGGGGGTATGGGGCCACTGGGAACTCAGAGAGTAGTGGATCTCCCATGAGGGGGAGGTACCAGTGAGGTTCACGGGAAAGTGGGGGGTATGGCTCCCACCTCAAAGATACAAAACTCAGTCACTGACATCCCCTGAGTGTGCCCAGACCTCTGTGCTCAGGCCCAGGTAGCTGACTTCTCAGCAGGGTGCAAGCTTTGCAGGGTGGGGCTACAGGGAGTCCAGGGGGAAATTGCTTCCCCCCTGCTGATGCTGTATGGACGGGAGTGTTCTATGCAAGTAAGATGGCACTTTTGGTGTGGGAGAGGGACTCAGCACAGTTGCCCTGGTGGCTGTCCCTTCAGCTCTCCCCTCACACCACAAACCCCAGTCTCTCTTCACGCAACGCCAGTTTGCTGTGCCCTCCCTCCACGGGAGCCCGGGGAGAGCAGCTGTGAATGAGATGTTGTGTGTTGGCCCTTGCAGAGGGCACCTGTGTCTCTAGCAGACTGTCTCTCCCTGGAAGACAGAAACCCCACTGATTTTCAGTCAGATGTTATGTGGCTGCCTCTTTCTGGCTCTGGTGCTCTGGGCTGGGGAGCCCGCTGCCTTCTAGTCTTATATTCATCTTCCTATGAGTGACTTGGGAGACTGTTAGTAGTTTCTCAGTGTTTTTTATAGAAATAGAACCCCTAGGCAAAGGCATGCATCATCTTTGCCTTTTGAAAACAATTGATTTTCAGTTGGACACAAGTCCACTTTGAATAAAGACTACAAATGCAGCCAGCTATGGCAGAAGAGAAATGTACAACTTTCAGGTTGTATATATCCTTCCTTGTCCATTCTCTCCAGCTAGAATCTGACATGATAATGAGCCATCTTGACATACAGGTGAGGGACACCCCAGAGATGGTGGTTCTGTGATACTAAGGTTCCTAGGCAACTTCTTGGGACAGAACTACCCGGGACTGTTTACCCCAAGCTGTTCCATGAGAGAAAAATAAATTTTTATTTGTTTAAGTCATTTGGGTTTTGGTTACAGTAGCTTAATTTGTATCTAAACCTGCATGTGGGGGAAGGAGGAGGTACTAATCAAAGTTATATATACATAAAACTTAATCAGATTGTAGGTGACTAAAATGGTATTGAATAATGAATGGATGTGGACTATAAGGAAGTTCCCAGAGGCGGCAATACTGTCACTGTTGATGCTAAAGAAGTAGCTGAAGCTTTAAAAAAACATATTAAAAGTATAGGATTTCCATGTAATGCAATGCCTAGAAATTCACTGGGGACAAAAACAATTGCTTATCACTATAATTCCGTAAACAACCGAATGCAGTTCCTGGGAGGAATGATTAAAAATCCATTCCAATACTCTCTGGCTGACTTCAATTTGATATTTAGCATCCCATGTTTGTGGAATTCAGATTTTAAGGAGGAAGGATTAATGAACATGAATGTTGACTATTTAAAAGAATATAGCATAGAACACAGACATTCTTCAGTTAGGGAGAGAAAGCAAAGTTGTCTGTACTTTGGAAGTTTAGATGTGCTTCAAAGCAAACAGGTTGAATTCTTTTGACTGTACAAATAATAGATTCAAAGAATAGTAGTCCGACTAGATTTCCATCTCCCCGACTTCACAGAAATTACAAAGTGACATTTAGTTGGTGTAGATGTGTGGAAATAGAGGTTATCAAAATTTCATCATGCCATTGGACTTCTGTAGTACTTCTTATTCCTTTTGAGAAAAGTCACACTGTGTATATGTTATAGAAAGTTATATTTTCCAGCCAAAGATGATGCCTGCCTTTGCCTAGAGTAAATGTATTATTTAATCAACGGAAATCCTTAAAGCCACCTATGCCACGACTGATCTGAGGGTTTTGGCCAATGCCCTAGTGTGAATTGAGGATGTGCCCAGCACCATTCCCACTCAGTGTGCACCTGGAAGTTCTCCCTTTCTCTCAGCCCGGAGAGAGGCTGTCTGGGAAAGGGTGGGGAGTCTGTGTTACCTGGAAAGCGCAGGAATGAATATCAATCACTGTTCGGTGGGTAGTACAGACACACTATCCTTTTCTCCCACAGCTGTGCAGGCCTTTCCCGTCCAGGAAGTAAAACTCTTTACAACATTGATGCTGTTTTTAGTTACAGTAACATCTAACATTTGTGAAGTATGTAAGAACTACAAAGTTCTCTAGGTTATTTGTTTTTACATTGCCAGAAAGGCGATCTAGGTGGCTAACATTGACCCTAGTGTCTGCACCTTCCAGCCACATCCTTCCAACTGACTAATCAACAAATATGTGAGGAACTTTTCTCTTACGCCTGTGATAAAGTGCACTGGGGAGTCTCCCAAGCAGGAAAGTCTCTGGCTTCTTACTGGTAATAACTTCTGATGCTGCCACCATCCAAAACATAGGAACTTCTCTTCATCACACAGAGTTCTCTTTATGAGTATTCCCCTGTACACACTCTCTCCCTACCTAGTTGGTTGTTTAAATTGGACTTTTAGTGTAGTAAGTTCAGAGTTGCAGTAAACCCCAATATAAGCAGGTCTGTTAATAATATGGTGTGTTTGTTTCTATTTATTTAATTTTGCCTTAGCTTAGCCCACTGATTAGGCAACTGTATGTTATTAAAAATATTTCACTTCACATTTCTACCTTTGCATCAACTAACTTCACCTACCTACAGCTCTTGGTCATGAAGGAAGCAAAATCCTTTTTATTCATTGTGACCAGGTCTCTCTCTTAGTATCAGGACAGGCTGTCACTCCAGCCCTTTCTTGATGTCCCATGGGACTTCCATTTGTAGATCACAAGCCATGAGGCTTCTGGTAGACACTCTGAATTGCTGCTCTTTCTCTGTTCCTTCCAGGGATCTTGTCGCCCATCTGTCTTGAGCAATCCCCCATTGGTATGTCCCACCTTGTGCTCAGCAGCATCTCTCTTACTCAGCATGCATGCCCCTCATTGAGTTTGCATGCCCAGGTCTCTTATTCAAATGTTTGCCTGTCCACACATATGGGAAAACTGTTAATCAGCCTTTGCTTAATATCACTGTGAGCATTTCAACTTCCAGTTTATATCATGTTATTTCTCTGTATAAAAACTGATGAAAAAATTTCATGTTTACTATAGAGCCCTCAACATTATCCCTGGCACTTCTCCTGCTCCTACCTCCCACGTTGGTCCCTGACCCACTCACCAGCCATTGAGGAGACAACGACAATGCTTCCATTGCTCTGCTTCAGCATGGGAAGGGCAGCCGTACTCAGGACCACATAACTGATGTAGTTGATCTCCATACTTTTGCGCACAAAGTGGATATCGCCAGCAAATGGTTGCATAGGAGTACTGATGATGTGGTTGAGAATGAGCATGTCTATTCCTCCTGCAAGAAATGACTGTATTGAGAGAAACCATCTGAGGTTGATACTTTTCTTTTTCCTCTCCCCCTCTCCCTTCCTAAAGCTCCCCAAGCCTAGTTCCATAGAGCAAAGATGATAGAGCAAGTCCAGAAGAAGAAGAAGTAGCCTCACCCATGATCTTTTCAGCTTTGGCAACAAATTGCTCTGCAAAAGTCATGTTCTCCATGGTGCCAGCAATGTAGTGTGCTGAGGCTGCTCCATACTCTAGGCAGTCAGATACTATCTGCAGGGACACAGGGACACTGGTTTCAGTATTGTAACCAGAACTCAAGTTCAACTGTCTGCTGCCACAAAAACCAAACTTGTGAGACAGATGCTGGTAAAAAAGGAAAGTGGTTTATTCAAGTACCGGTTATCTGAGGAAATGGGGGACTCTTGTCACAAAACCCATCTCAACATCTTAGTGCAGGCAGGGGTTTTTATAAGGAGGGAGAGGCAAAGCAGAACAAAGAAATGAAAGTGAGGGGGTTGACAACTTTTCTGTGTGTAGTCCAGCATGGTCAATTCTGATAAAGATTTCAAAACCAGGCAAGTGGCCTGGTGTGTGTCATCCTGGTCTTTGTCATCCTGGTTCTATGTCATCTTGGGTCTACATCATCCTGGTTCTATGGTTGAAGGTCAGAAAATCTCCCATAATTGGGGTGACTGAAGGTTGGAGTCTGTATCTTCTGAAGTTAGTTCCTCAGATTTTACTCAAACATACTGTTTATCTTACAACGTACATTATAATCAGAGTCAGCATTTACAGAAACAATGTCAAAAAAATGATGGGGTGGGTTACAGTTCCTACTATTACAGTATTGGCCGTAGACCTTTGGGGACAGTCTCTGAAATAATGGGGATTTAGATGAGAAGTTGCTCACAGCACTGTTCTGTATGTGAATGTGAATTTAGTGAATGTGTGTGTGTGTTGCTAAATGCAACCTGATATAATCTTTTTCCTCTGTATGAAATACTTTCTGAAAGTATTTCAGGTAGGGTGTAAATGGATAAATCATCACTGTGCTTGGGTTCAAGTCCACGATTTGTGTTTATGCATTTCTGTGAATAGATGTTTCTGAATGATCCTAGTTTTTATGTGGGTGGTCCTAGATTTGTGAATGTTTGTATATCCTTGGGTTTATGAGTCTGAGCATATGAGAAGGCATGTATCTTAGAGTTTGCATGGGTACAAGAATATGAATTCATGTGTAGGTACTGGAATTTTGATATCTGACTACATATCTATATATCTGTGACTTCGTGTGTAACTTTGTGAGCATAGACATGTCTATGAGTATATATAGCCCAAGAACTTTGTGTCTATATATATGTGCATGGGAATGAACACTGAAATGCATATTTTCATATTATTGTGGGTGTTTGAGCCTGTATGTATGTGTGCATGCACATGTGTGTTTATGTGTATGCATGCATCTGTATATAGATGTGCCAGCCTCTTTGTGTTGGCATGTATACATAAGTATATATAAGAATACACCTGAGCATGTGAGCATGTATGTGTTTGTGGGCATAGAACCCTCACCTTCCTTAGAGCTTCTTCTGATCTTGCTGTCACCATCACATGAGCTCCCATCTTCGCCAGATGATAGGCCATCTCTTTTCCAATCCCCTTGCTGGCCCCTGTGACAATCACTTTCTTTCCTTTGAGCATCCCTGGGAAACCCCAAAAGGAAGTGAGGAGCATACCCAATTTGGCAGCAAAATTCTTCCTCCTGCTCTGGACTTGGGCAGACTTATCTCAATGTCTCAAGGTTATGAGTCCAGATCAACTTATTTCAACTGCATAAGTCAGTGGAGGAAAGTTCAAGCCTTTCAGAAATATGCTCTGAAATGGAGGTTTGGCTTGGTTGCTCAAAACCAAGTCTTCCTTTTGTTTTTCTTAAAAAACAAACAAACACTCCATGGACAGAAGTTTCAGCTGGAACATTAGAATTCCAGATGTTTCTGGATTCATCCAGTTTTGCTCAATTGAAATAATATACAAAAAGTCCTCAAAATACACGTGTTCTCAGAGATCCCAGGGATTTCCCCTCTCTTCAATTTAGTCAACTTCAGACTACTTTCTTGCCTCCTACTTGTTAGTTTTTCGACAGAGCCCAAATATCTGGCTAAGTTGTGAATTTTGGAATTACCCTCATTTACAAAAAATTGTTTCTTTATTGATTTTAGAGAGAGAGGAAGAGAGAGGGAGAGAGATGGAAACATCGATGAGAGAGAACATCAATTGGCCACCTCCTGCATGCCCCCCACTGGGGTTTTGGCCCACAACCTGGGCATGTGCCCTGACCGGGAATTGAACTAGTTGACCTCTTGGTGCATGGGTCAATGCTCAACCACTGAGCCACATCCGCCAGGTAGAATTACCCTCATTTTCGTAGGGGATCTGGATTGTTTTTACTAAGGGTGCCAAGTACAACCTGTACTATTTGGCAATCTCTTGGCTATGTGATTATCCTTCTGTACACTCCTATTACCCATAGCCTATGGCTGGAGGACACAGAAATACTCTCCTGCCTCAGGGTCCCTTGTTGTTCAGCAACTTTGAGAATCAGGAAATCATCATGATCCTCAGACACTCTGGCCACCCCTGTGTTTTCTTTTTATCTATTCCCCCCAAATTAGACACCTTGGTACTTACCTGGTCTGAATTCTTCATTGTCAGAATAGAAATAGTAGGCCAGGAAGATCCCGAGAATAAGGAAGAGATAGTTCTTCATAAAAGCCATGAGACACGGATCTGGCATGAAGACCCTATAGGGCACACAGAGTGAACGTCCACGACTTTCTGCAACCTCCTCGGCAGGCAGCAGCCTCTGAATTGTGACACCAGGGATGGGGAGACTGAAGTACTTTCAGCCAATTTCCCTGCAAAGCACTGATTGGCTATGGTGAGGTCCTGACAGCCTGTGTAGCAAATTTCACAATGAAAATATTTATTCTATTTCATTGAGCAAGAAGAGGCTTACAGGTGGCCCAGCTCATGACTGGATTCCTGAGCATCATTGCCCTGCGCCCATCTTCCTCTTAAGACCATTTATATCACTTTTCAACAGCCTGACTAAAGTGTCTGTTGGAGGTAGAGAGAAAGCATGTGTGGGGCTTCTGGGGAAATGTCAGTAACAGCAGAGCCAAATTCAAGTCAATTCTCACTCTCAGCCCCACGTCCTAGTCAGAAACAATAAAAAATAACTGCACAAAACCGAAAAACAAGCTTAAAAATTAAGTGCACATCTCAGAAAATAAAAAAGCAAACAAACCCAATAAACCCCACACTCAAGTTCAATGAATTTGTATTACAACATCAAAGAGGAATGCAAGCCAGCTAGAACCCAGGTAGCAAGACTCTCAGGAAACTGAAAGAAATGTGCACTTATTCTTTTAATAGCAAACAAAGAAGAAATAATGGGTGCCAAATAAATAAATAAATAAATAAAAAGGCATGAAGCTATTAAACTTGGTCTTGTAAATGCTATAGAGGAGCAAGAATCATGGAGAAGTTGCTAGAACAGGAGATCTGGTTGGTGTAGGAGAAAAAAACGACTACCCCATAGAAGTAAAACAGGCCTGAAAAGCCCACATCCAGCTAAAAATCAATCTGATAACAGTAAAAGGACCATGGAGGAGAAACCCTTAGTAATTTAGAATTTGTTATAGAAATAACCACTTTGGTGTGCCTGTAGCAGGAATTCATTAAGGAACAATCCTCAAAGAACAAATTTAGGATGTATTATTGTTAAGTTTTTCCATTTAAATCCAGCTAACCAAACCATAAAAATTACCCATCACAGAGCAAATTCAGAACTCTGCAAGTTACCAACAGAGACATGAAAACCATTTAAATTCGATGATAAGAATTGGTACCAGGGCTTTGGAGGAGGATTATAAGTGGAGGGTGGGGATTGGGGGGATCACACAAAATTAACACAAATCAAGCTATGACCCTAAGTACAGTATCTGGAAATGCTCACTGGATTTTCACTTCAGAGTATGGGAAAATAATGTAAGACTCAGAGGAGATGAAGTAATTTGCAACAAAGACCCCCAGCTGTAAAGATCACTTTTAGAAAACAATGGAGATTTGAGAACAGCTGAGGGATAGATAGAGTTCAAGGTCCATGGAGGACAAAACATGAAAAAAGAAAAAAATAGCCTGACCAGTGTGGCTCAGTGGATTAAGTGCCATCCATGGACTGAGAGGTCCCAGTTCGATCCCAGTCAAGGCACATGCCTGGGTTGTGGGCTTGATCCCCAAGAGGGGGTGTCCAGGGGGCAGCTGATGGATGTATCTCTCTCACATTGATGTTTCTATTCTCTTTCCCTTCTTCTCTCTCTAAAAAAATGAATAAAACATAAAAAAATAAAGAAAATTTAAGTAGAAAATTATATTACTCTAAGAACTGCAAGAAATACATGATAATTTTATAAATGACTTTATGCTGCCAAGGTATGTTACAGACTGGACTCCATTTTCATCTCTAGAGGAAGAAAATTTAAGTTTCTTTTCTTTTTTTTATCCTCACCCAAGGACATTTTTTTTGCATTTATCTTTGATAGAGTAGGATGGGGGTGGGGAGAGAGAGAGAGAGAGAGAGAAACATCGATGTGAAAGAGACACATCGATTGGCTGTCACCCACACAACCCTAACTGGGGACAAACTGGAGCTGGGGACAAACTGCAACCGAGGTACGTGCCCTTAGCGGGAACCAAACCGGAAACCCTCTGGTCCACAGGCTGACGCTCTAACTGCTGAGTCAAACCGGCCAGGGCAAGTTTATTTTCTTAATACTATACTATTAATAATAAAAGTATAGGAAGCAAAAAATTGTTTGAAAATATGACGATGTTGAAATGAAAGATGGACAGACTAGGGAAGTTTATTGTCTGACAAAAAAGAAAAAAATTTTAAAGTGCACTACAGAAAAATCACTTAAATAAATCAAAGATAACAATGAGTAGAAACACACAGTCTCCCAAAACTATTCCCGGAAGAGATAGAAAACTTGAACAGACCAATAACAACTAAGGAAATTGAAGAAGTAATCAAGACTCTCCCAGCAAACAAAAGCCCAGGCCCAGATGGTTTCACAGGGGAGTTTTACCGAACATTCAAAAAAGAACTAACACCCATTCTCCTCAAACTATTTCAAAAAATTCAAGGAGAAGGAAGACTTCCAACCACATTCTATGAGGCCAGCATAATTCTAATTCCAAAACCAGAAAAAGACACTACGAAGAAAGAAAACTACAGGCCAATATCCCTGATGAACATAGATGCCAAAATCCTGAACAAAATACTAGCAAATCGGATCCAGAAATACATCAAAAAAATTATTCACCACGACCAAGTGGGATTCATCCCAGGGATGCAAGGCTGGTACAATATTCGCAAATCAATAAACGTGATACATCACATAAACAAAATGAAGAATAAAAACCACATGATCATATCAATAGATGCTGAAAAAGCATTCGACAAAATCCAGCATCCATTTCTGATAAAAACGCTCAGCAGTGTAGGAATAGAGGGATCATATCTCAACATAATAAAGGCTATATATGAAAGACCTACAGCCAACATCATACTCAATGGACAGAAACTAAAAACATTTCCATTAAGAACAGGAACAAGACAGGGATGTCCACTTTCGCCACTCTTATTTAACATTGTACTGGAAGTCTTAGCCACAGCAATCAGATGTGAAGAAAAAATAAAAGGGATCCAAATTGGAAAGGAGGAAGTGAAACTGTCATTATTTGCAGATGACATGATATTATACATAGAAAACCCTGAAGAATCCATCAAAAATCTATTAGACTTAATAAATGAATTTGGCAAAGTAGCAGGATACAAAATTAACGTCAAGAAATCGACGGCATTCTTGTACATCAATGATGAGCTCACAGAAAGAGAAACTGAAAAAACAATCCCATTTACCATCGCTCCAAAAAAATTACGATACCTAGGAATAAACTTAACCAAAAAAGTAAAGGACCTATTTGCAGAAAACTACAGGTCATTGAAAAAAGAAATAGAGGAAGATATAAAAAAGTGGAAGCACATACCCTGTTCATGGATTGGAAGAATTAACATAATTAAAATGTCCATACTACCCAAAGCAATCTATAGATTCAATGCAATACCCATCAAAATACCAACGACATATTTCATAGAACTAGAACAAATACTTCAAAAGTTCATATGGAACCAAAAAAGACCCCGAATAGCCACAGCAATCTTGAAAAAGAAGAACAAAGTTGGAGGGATCACAATACCAGATATCAGGTTATACTACAAAGCGACTGTAACCAAAACAGCCTGGTACTGGCACAAGAACAGGCATATAGACCAGTGGAACAGAACTGAAAGCCCAGAAATGGACCCAAGGCAATACGCTCAATTAATATTTGACAAAGGTGGCAAGAGCATACAGTGGAGTAAAGACAGCCTCTTTAATAAATGGTGTTGGGAAAACTGGACAGCTACATGCAAAAAAATGAAACTAGACCATCAACTTACACCATACACAAAAATAAACTCAAAATGGATAAAAGACTTAAATGTGACCCGTGAATCCATAAAAATTGTAGAAGAAAATGTAGGCAACAAAATTTCGGACATCATACGGAGCAGAATTTTCACTGATACATCACCTAAGGCAACAGAAATAAAGGAGAAAATGAACACATGGGACTACATCAAACTAAAAAGCTTCTGCACAGCAAAAGAAACAATCATCAAAATGGAAAGGCAACCCACTGTATGGGAGAACATCATTGCCAATGATGTATCAGATAAGGGGTTAATTTCCAATATATACAGAGTGCTCATACAACTCCACAAAAGGAAGACAAAGAACCCAATTAAAAAATGGGCAGAGGAGCTGAATAGACACCTCTCCAAACAGGACATACAAATGGCCAAGAGACATATGAAGAAATGCTCAACATCACTAATCATCAGAGAGATGCAAATTAAAACAACAATGAGGTATCACCTCACACCTGTCAGAATGGCTGCCATCAACAAATCATCAAACAACAAGTGTTGGCGAGGGTGTGGAGAAAAGGGGACTCTAATACACTGCTGGTGGGAATGCAGACTGGTGCAGCCGCTATGGAAAACAATATGGTGCTACCTCAAAAAATTAAATATTGAACTTCCATTTGACCCAGTGATCCCACTGCTGGGAATATACCCTAGGAAGCCTGAAACACCAATCAGGAAGAATATATGTACCCCCATGTTCATAGCAGCACTATTTACAATAGCTAAGATCTGGAAACAGCCCAAGTGTCCACCAGTAGACGAATGGATCAAAAAGCTGTGGTACATATACACAATGGAATACTATGCAGCGGTAAGAAAGAAAGATCTCTTATCCTTTGAGACGACATGGAGGGACCTGGAAAGTATTATCCTAAGTGAAAGAAGCCAAGCAGAGAAGGACAAATACCACATGATCTCACTTATATACGGAATATAATGAACATAACAGTCTGAGGAATACAGTAGACCCAGACACATGGAAGTGGGGCACAGACTGACATCCCTCAGAAGAGGGGATGGGGGGTGGGGGGGTGGGAAGGGATAAACCACAGAACTTATATGCATGTATGCATGACCAATGGACATGGACAACTAAGCCGGGGACAGGGTGGAGGGGGGGTGGGGTGGGGGGTGCCAATGGGGTAAAAAGGTAAAATATCTGTAACAAAAAAATAAAT